ACGTGGAGAGCGCCGAAAGCGCGGGCCGGCCGCGGCTGTCTGGAAAAAGCCAACCTGGGCTGCTCGTGAAAGGGCCTTTTAAAGTTTTGCCTGGGTGCGTCTGGTTTGCGTATTCTGACTGAAAGTGTTTGCAAGCGGCGTGGCAGCCAAGTTGGCTTGCAGGTTAGGAAGCAACGTTTCCCAAGGAGCTTGTGTCCTCTGGTGCCAAAGACACTAGAGACCAAGCCCTGTGAGTGTCGGTGACAAGCTAGAATTCCGGAAAATCTTGGAAAGGTTTGCTTGCTTTGATTTGGAACTTGTTAGGCACTCCTTTCTGCACACACGCACACCAGCACACACGATGTCATACAAATGTGTGCATATGCACATATATGTACATGAACTGAACTGAATATGGTCTAACTTCTGGGAAGCACAAATCATGTCAGGTATAAATTCCAGAACCTAAGACGCTGGCATGAAATTTTTATGTTTAAATGTTCAGAGATGAAAACAGGATGTCATTATTGTTGTTTCCTAGCTCCAACTTGAGATTCAGGTTTGGAACTAAAAAAAAAAAAAAAAAAACAGAAACAAAAACAAAAAAACACACAATTTGTGTAATAAGAAAAATCTATTTTCTATATTCGTTGTTCTTATTATCTTATTAACAGCCTATTTAAAAGCTGTAGTGACCAAAGGTCATAAGCCCAAATCTTTGCTCTAATGGAGAGATTTTTCAAATACCTAATTCAAAAGAGGTAATGCACTTTTCTTCTTTGTAAGTTAGAAATCTTTGTACTTGATCTAAGGAGATTAATATGGCGCGTGCATTTATTTATTTAAATTGCAATAGGAAAAAGGAAAACGAGTATTAAACAAATAATAAATAGAGAATATAAGCATTTTCTTTAAAAAGCTTTGTTTTCTCAAAAGTAATGCTCCAGTTGCAGGTAATTGTCATAATAAAATGTACATAAATTTTTGGTAAAAATTGACATTAGAAATGTAATAAATAAATAATTTTGACTTTTATCTTTTCTATAATTTGTGTCACATCCATGTGCTTAATAAAATCATATGAACTGTTAATACGGTAAAATATTTGTCAAACTTAACAGATGTTGATATGATCTGGCTATTATTTGCCATGCTTATCACAGCCCAGCACCAAAAGGACATTCCACAACTTAAGTATGTCTTTGCATAAATTAGAATGGAATTATATTTATGGACTTTGAAACAATAAAGAAAATCAAAACAGTAAACCTCACTCTCTTCATTTTAAAATATAGTAGCCACTGACACTTGATATAACTGAGGGGATAGTTAGATAAAATGAATTAACATTCGCTGCTTCCCTTCAAAGGAGGGTGCCTGTTTTTCATGTTTAATCCATCTTTTGAATTCCTAATTCAAATTAACAGGAAGTGTCCTTACTGTTCAGGTTACAGAATGTTGCATTAGATAACATATCTGTGAAGGACGTTTCAGCCTAGGTAAAATAAAATTGCTGTGTTGTTTCTACATACCATATTCATTAGTTATACAATTTAATTTAAAATGCTTCTTATGATTCTCCAGACTCTTGGACTGAAATGATTTCCGTGGAAAATATCAATGCTTCTGAGAAATAATAGCTTAGCTAGTAAACATTAACTATTAACTTTGTGACACAGCTACCTAGTTTCAATATTTGTTAGCTATGCTACCAATTGCTGTGTGTCTTGATATGTTTACCCATAAAATAGTTATGATGTGGTGCTGGAAAGAGGACTAAGAGGTTAAAAGTGTATCCTGCTCTTGAAGCAGACCTAAGTTAGAATCCCAGAACCGTGTCAGTTGGATCACAACCACCTGTAATTCCAGCTCTAGAAGGATCTGAGGTCTCTGAGTTCCATGATCACTGGCAATCATGTGAACATGCCACCCCCCAAAAAGCCATAATATACATAAGTAAAAAATAAATCTTGCAAATTAATGTGGTGATATCTATTTCATGAAATTTTGAGAATTACCAAAAATAAAACATGAGTTAGACAGGACAGAGTTCCTAGCCATTGGCATTAATCAAATATTAACTTGGAGCTATCTATCTGTAATTCCAACAGTGCAAGAATTTATCAGTTTTGTAGGACTCTATTTTTTTCTTAGTAGTACTGGGGATTGAATCTAGACCCTCATGCATGCTAGGCAAGGGCTCTACCATTGTACTGAAACCCCAACCTGTAGATCAAATTTAAAGATGATTTTTTTTTCAGTTCCATGAGGCAGCACACTTGATCAAAGCATGTTCTTTTAGACTTCAAATAATTCTGAGTTCTTCTTGTGCTATCTTTTCTTACAACCCATGCATTTCTTAAAGGCAATCTTTAGATTTGTTTTATTCATCTAGTATTGGTTAACTAATCAGCATAGGTAAAGTTTGGTAAGAACTGTACACAATTTATGTCCCTAAAATTTGGAAAGGTACTTTATAGACACTGCACTTAGTTGTAGAGAGAAATAACTTACAAACGTTTAAGAAAATACATGAGTATATAGGATTAGATTATTTAAGTTAATTAACTATGAGACACATCATAAGGAGAAAGAAGAGAAGAGAACTTAACTTGTGCAAGACTTGTTATAAGGGGTCTTGGAATAGATTTGATTTGTTTCAAGACAGGAACAGAGAAATTTTGTTAAGTATTGAACAGTACTTGGTGTGAAAATAAATAGCTTGTTGTTACTTCTTCCTTGACAAATACAATAGCCTACTACTTTAAAATACTTAGTATTAAGAATAAAAAGTTAAATTTTATATCTCAACATTGAACCTATTGACTTTTATCCATTGTACTTTTAAC